ATATATTCTACAGAAGCTATTTCTAGTATTTCAAAGAGCCAAATTCATTCGGCACCTGCGCGGCAATCGGCTTTCGTCCGCACACACTACGTGCAGACATGGATGAAAGGAAGCACGTTTCAAATACACGACTAAACTAAATATGCCCCAAATTTGTCCAGCCTAATCTTAAAACATGCGGCCTTGAAATTACAGTGAAACAGTCTCTAATGCACCAGTCGAATAAAACTCATGCATGCTTCTGATGACGAAGTCTATTGTAGCTTAATATGAAGACGATGTGGACTCCACTAACGAATAAAAGATATAAAATAATACAAATATATAAATATTGATGCATAAAAAACATAAATATCAAGGTAAAATAATTTCTTCGATCAGATAATTTGAAAGGCAAAATGGGGTACGAAATCACAATAAGCGTGTGCCATGATCAGATGCATCATCAAAATAGCGAGGCAAATATCAACATAAAGCATGCTGGCCTGGATCCAAAATGGGGTATAAATTCAATCAGAAGATTTAAAAAGATATACAATAAAATAAAAGAATCAGAAGTGAAAAATGTGAAATTTAGATGAAATTTCAAGGATCCAAATTAGGTTGAAAAAATAATGAATACCCTTATATCGAATGGTTAAGCATCCATTACGTGTTTGAAATGTACAAAACCTGCCCATTTATACGCCCTCACTTCTATTGGTAACTAATTTGGTTCGACCTTGTTTTGGCAACTTTGTCGGAGCGCCAGGGAGACCTTATGGTACATACCCAGTCTCATGTCCTCTGCCATAGTATTAGTGATTTTCAGCGTTGGACCATTGCCTGGGTACATTCCCAAACGTTTCGCCGGCATCATCAGTGAGAGGCGCTATTGTAAGTACAGAGTTGCAACTCATTAAAAGTGACAAGTGAAGGCAATCCCCTTGACCGATTTTCTTTTCAACCGTTGTGCTTATGATGGCTCTCTCACTGACGATGCCGGCGAAGCGTTTGGGAATATACCCAGCCAATGGTCCAGTATTGGAAATCATGAATACTATGGCAGTGGACACGGGACTAGATGCGTTCCACAAGGTCTATCTGACGCTTCAACCAAGTTGCGAAAACAAGGTCAAACCAACACTACAGAGCTAGAGGAAAGTGCGACTAAACAAAAGGCTCCATCATGTTGGTCTTCATATCTAGGATATAAAAAATAAAGATATTGAATTTTACCAGTGAGGACAGTCCATTGCTTTAAATACAATAAAGGCATAGAACTAACCATTGCAAGATTAAATTAATTAATTATTAAGTTGCATGATCAAGAGAAGGTAAATGAGCAAAATAACAACCAATGAGAAGCATATTACCAAATAATGGCTAACTTATGTTTGACATCTTTAAAAGCCTCTAATTTTAATTAAAGTAATCACTATTAAGTGGCATAAAGTTTAGATAAATTTATCAGGAAGCAAACTTATACGAGGCGAAAATAGAATGGCTATATCAAATTAAAAAGGTGGCAAAATTGCGCAGATCGCGTTACTGTCTTCTTGAGGGATGAATAGATAGAATAAAAAATCTACTAGACAAAATTTGATGTCCGGCCTTTCATCATAGAGAATGAAAATAGAGTAAGGAGTCTAATTACCTGGTATCGATCCATCTTGCCCCAGTACTCTGGCATAGCAACGACCTCAGCCTGTGCCGGGATAAGACGTCGGGGAAGTAAGTCGCTCTTGGTGTTGCCTAAGGAGACTACAGGCGGCGGACAAATGCCAGTGAATGAAGTTCCCGTAATCGGCGTGAGGCGATTAGCTGCGGCGGTGGAGACACAACAGATGAGCCTAAAGGCTGAAGCATCGGATCGTGGTGAACTATGCATGTCAGACACCAAACGAGGCCAAGCCGATAAAATTAGGTTGTCCGACCCCGGTGAGTGACCCTCACGCCGGTTCTGTAAGTGCAAACGTTCCTGACTAGAGAGATGACGGCAAAAAGATGATCCGGCCCTGTGGACGCCAGTAATAGTTGAAGAGGCAGCACCTTGTCCGAATGGAGTAAAGAGGCGGACAGAAGGGGAAAACCAGGAGCCAGAGACTCGAGTAGAAGGTGATGAGGGGTTACGAATACCCGAAGGATCTAGACGAAAAATAAAGAATATGTACAGTGTTATTTTGCAAAAGATAGACATCTGACCAAAAAGATGAAGAGTATGTTTATTTTAATATGGATTTAAATATAAAATAGATGGCGAGGCCAATAGCAGTACCCTAGGCTCGATTTCACATTCAAATTTATATCCAGACTCAAATAAATGATCGTCTAGCAAATGCAAAACAGAAATCTGTTGGTGGTAAGAATAATTCTTTGGCGAGAGATCCATATAGCGGCTAGCAATCGCTTTAGGCCCTATGTTCTACAAAGACATCGCTTGCACTTACAGTGAGGAGCAATACAATCAGCTCTGGATTTTTTACTAACCTGTCTCCAATGCAAAAAGGAAGTTCGGGAAAGCTGGCTAGACAAGTAAATGTTAATTATTTAAATTGTGTAGCGAAAAAAGGCAAAAGTGAAAATTCGGATCGACAAAACACGGCGATGAGAAGCTCAGTAAGTATGTCCAGTGAAATGAATTTTAAACGGTGATAGACACATATACCGTATTTGAAATAAAGCTAACCCACCACCAATAAGAGAAGATAGTCATATGGACAAAGAACCCATTTTTCTAGGATTAGCCATCACTTATTCAAAAACTATCAATCTGATTCAGATTGAGCTTAGCAAAAATGACCCTTCAATAAGATTAGTGTTGCTATGGCAAGCGACATGAATTCTCCTTGCCATCTGTCAAGGGTAAAATGTCCAACCCCATCTACCATAGCACTATAACGATTCCCGTGTAACTGTGGCCAAAATTGCAAATGATGATTGTTGAATAAAAAACCATTGACCGTAAAACACCTAATGGATACAAACCAGAGAACTGAGATAAAGCAAATTTTCTTAAGATACAGTCTAAGTAACCTCTCGTTGCGCTTAATGCATCAGGTACAGTCCTGATTTGATTATACAGAAGAGAAAAAGCTGTGAAATATTATATGAATCCTCATCTGAAATTTGATCAGATTGATTACAGTTGACATAAATGAACTATAACATATCGTAATACCCTAGGGTTAGATGGGAGTATCAACTTAAAGGACGAGAGGTGTGCTTTTCGCGATTCAGAAGAAAAAGAGTAGCGGTACAATTTAGCATCAGTGGTTTTGACTTAAGCCGAACATATGGTCTCAAAGAATGAGATACAATGTGGGTTAGAAGTCTAGGAAGATAAGATTCACAGGCATTTGCATGTAAATTGGCATCATCTGCTCTAAATCCTCGAATATGGCGTAATCGGGGACGGGAATCAAGAACTATTGGGCAGCCAAATTTCAGACAGCATCAACCAATTGAAAAACGTGATAGGAAGAAAAGGGGAGCAGAATGTAGGTCATGAGCCCTGCAAACGGCACCTGATACTGGTGGTGGAGCTGTTTGAGCTTTAATAAACCCAAATGTAGCGACACGCTCTCAGGCGACATTGGAGGAAATAAAAGAATTGTGTGAATAGGTAATGAGCTATATGAAGTGGGGTTGAGAAAAAGAGATGCAATACAAGAAAGAATAACAAAAAATAGGAGCGAGGAGTGATGCTACAACAGTTGAACAAAAAATTGGCCAAGGGGATTGCCTTCATTGTCACTTTGATAAGTTGTAACTCAGTCGTTACGATGAAGCCTCTCACTGACGGTGCCGGAGAAACGTTTGGGAATGTACCAAGTCAATGGTCCAATTCTGGAAATCACGAATACTATGCAGAGGACACAGGACTAGGCACGCTCCGGAAAGTATCCCTGAAGCTCCGACCAAGTTGCGAAAACAAGGTCGAATCAACACTATATTAGCAAAAGTTAAATAGCGATCAGTTTCATCAATTAATATAGACTAGGATAGAATGAAATTGCCGACCGTCTTAGTGTTTCACGTTTTTATTGTTGAGCTAATGCGTGATGAAATGAGCAAAATGTAGGTTTATGTATGAGAATGAACAGATTGCAAATCCCCATGGACTTAGATAAAATCGCAGTTCAAATCAGACGGTAATGGATTCTGGAGATATGTGTGTGGAGATAAACAAAACCTTCTGGCCATCCAAGTATTAGACTCGCAACCAACAAAGCGGGTTATAATTCAGTTCAACTTTACATAAGCGCGTTAAGTAATCATAATTGTTATTCTGCTAAGAAAGTCAGGAAAACTTGTCTGACTAATTAATTTACTTATAATTGACCGCTTTCCTGTTCTTCAGGACAAAGTAAAGAAGAATTAAGTAGGTACTGGGCTTTGCCAGCATCATGAATCATGCCGTCAGAATAGTGAAACAAATGATTCTAAGTTATGATAAAGAATATCTTAGCATGGCAGAATTAATTTTGGGTATATTATCAAGTGGCTACGAGACTAAGAATATTCAATTCGCCTCAGATGGCAGGATTTAGATATCCTTAGGATACCGGATTAAAGTCATACCTGAAGATTGCATGGTTATATCAGATGGAAAAATAAGGATGCACATAAATTTCAAAATATTCGACCAAGGGCAAAGCCCAGCTAGTCGTAGTAAGTTCAGACTTCTGTACTGCGTAACAATAAATATTCTTCAATTATTACTATCACGCTTGTTCGTTGTTTCTTCCAATGATATCAGTTTAATCATATATTTTGTCCTCGGCGGCCATTCATCATAATTCTCAAGACAGCCAAAGATAAAATATCTAAACATTTAGACAAAGAAAAATTTTTTATCGTCAAACTATGCAGTCATCTGCAAAGTGTTTGCATAATCATGCTCAAGTAGTCCGCATATGTTAAAGTAGAGAAAGATTCTTTTGAAAAACTTATGATAATAATTAGCTGAGGTGTTTCATGTACATTTACAGGCTAATCAGGCTTAAAAGCCTGATATTAATCTGTATATATGAAATAACGTTTACTCAGATTTATGGCCAGTGAGAAAAGGGCTCTCCGATCTAAATGAATACAGAGATAAATTGGCAATGAGAAAAATATAAACTTTGACACAAATTACTGAGGTAAACACTAAGCTAAACTAAATGCAATATAGCTTGTGATACATAAAGCTAACAAGCATAACATTAGTATGTATTGCTCGCCTAGAGCGTCAAATAGTAATTTAATAAAAGTTTAGGTTCCTCCATTTTTCAGAGTTATGTTTATTAAAAGTACACATAAAAAATTAAATTTTGTTTTTTATCATAGAAATTGGATCGATGTTAAATGGCTGATGGTATCCTACCATTTAATAGACTTGCGAGCTTTACTTAATCTAAAATTTTGGGCATTAACAAGGCTCTGTGCAGAGCGCATAAGATAATGAAAAATAGAAGAGTTCATGGGCAATATGATTACAGGCAGTACATGGGGAAAATCTACTGAGCCAGTAAAGTAAAACCATTAACTCACAAGACCCTAGAGTCGCCAGACGAGAACTAAGGCATCGAATCCCGGGAATCCTGGTAGGCGAGATACAGAAAGGACGGTTCACATCCGGGAAGGCATTACTTGCGGGATGATACACATTAGACCAAGGAAATTGGCCAAAGGGGCAAGCTTGGCTGGTAGTAGTAGAGGTCTGTGAGAGGCTATAAGAGGCTGTAAGATTGGGAGTGGAAATGGGTGGAGAAGCGGCTTCGCTTCGAACCATCTGCCAAGGTGAGCCAACAGATGAAGATCGAGTCTGTCCTGGCTGCTGTACGGAGCAGGTCTGAGTTAGCGCCTGGCAAGAATCAACCTTGGGGTCACGCGACTGTCCTTCTGCCTGGCCAAAGCTTGGTTCCGACAAAGTCAGAACATCACCAAACGACTTGACAACCTCGCTAGAGGGACAGGGTTGGGCCATAAGGTGGGCAATAGTAGCACATGCAAAGCAGTCCCCAGGACGATGTTGGTTATATGGACAGCGAAACAGAAGTATAGGCAAGACACTGTTCCCGTTTGTGGTTGAAGCACTTTGCCCTGATGCAGGAATAGAAGCCGTACTAGAAGAAGTGGCTGCATGGGAAGGGGAAAGAGGAATGGGATGAGATTGAAGCGAATGCGTAGAGTGGTGCAAGTGGACTTGATACTGGTGATACCATTGTTGCCAACGCTGATAAATAAAGAGGGCCGAGTTATGATCTACATTCTTTCGACAAGGTTCAATGCGCTTTCGGCATAAGTTCTGCCAGCAGCAATTATAACGGTGGCCATGACGTCGACCACAGCGGCAAACGTGCTTAAATGACTGGTAGCGTCGCTTGGTTGAAGTCGATTTGCTCTGATGTTGGTCGCCTTTATGGGGGCGACAATGGTTCGAAAGGAACGAGAAAGGCAGCAACAAGAACAGCAGCAGTCCTGCAATACTAGAAGTTTGAGATGGACCACGCCGCCAAATGCGCGAGCAGCCAGGTTGCGTTGTTGTTGACCTATTAGAGGCGCTAACAGTGATCTTAAGAGAAGAGGGACAATCAGTGGCGGAGAGCGAATAAGCTGCAGGTGAGTTTACCTGACTAGAACCTAGACCAGCACATGGAGTCTCAAGAAGAGCGGCAGCAATCAGCTCATTGCTCCAAGAGCGGACAGGAATTGTTGGATCTAAATGACAGGCTGAGAAATCCATGGAAAGAGGCGAAAAATGGCTGAAGAGTACGCTGCTGCAAAAGCCTGGAAAAATTGAATTTAAAAAGAAGAATGAATAGCGGAAATTTAATGCTTCAAAGAAAACGTCAATGTGCAAAAATATTAACGCTACCGTAAACAAACGTGTTAGAAAATCTAAATAAGCAAAATTATAAAAAATATATTTCATTTTCTATTCTTATAATATGTATACCATAAACTGCCTGCACGAAGGAAGAAAAAAGGGATAAAAGGACGATGAAAGAGACTAAGTGGGGAGAAAAATAGACTTATAGATAGGGATTTTGGTAGTAATGCAAAAGAAGACCTAATTAGCAAATGTTGAGGACAATGCTGTAAGGAATTCCAGCGAATAACAAGAAGAAAGTAACCTTAATAAAAATTCGAGATTCCTTTAAAGATAACCCTGTTAAATTATTTGACCTTGTTTTCTCAACTTGGTCACATTGGTAGGAAGACTTAGAGGAACGCACCTTGTCCGGAGTCCATTGTATGCATAATCATTTTCAAAATCGGACCGTGGACGTGGTACATTCCCAGACTTTTCGCCGGCATCGTCAGTGAGTTTTGACATTTGTGGCACCATATTACAACTCGTCAAAGAGACAAGTTAAGCCGATCCTTCGACCAAACGTGTGCTAAACAGTTATGGTATCATTGTAGATACGAAGAAAAACTGGGTTTCGATAAATCTCCTGAGATAACATTGTTAAAGGGACCTTCATTAAGTATGCAAGTGCGCATGAAGAAGAGATTCGTTGGTCGATCTGACCAGATGAGGACGGATGAAACTCGTTGTACTGCAGCCGGTTGGATTGTATAGGATATTCACTCCTTCAGCCATGGCCTATTCACAATTCATATATTCTCCAATCACGCCTTCACCGTCACAATTTTTACTTGCTTAATTAAATGTGGTACGGTGTGAACTTTTGAGCGGCTTTCATGAAAACCCTTCCCACTCCAGGCTAACCTTCTCAACCCCTTCATCCTTGTGCTGGGAATGTCGATCAGAGTATACCATATTGTTACGCAGTCCTCTCTTCCTAGATCTTACAAAAGTGTCTCTCTTGTCCCGTAGAATCCATCAGCGATCTAGCTGGTTTAAGTATTTCATTATATCTGCTACTCGAGGTGTCATTATCCCTCCTCTGCGGCTGAGTGACTAATACAAGGCTAAAGCCTCTGAGTAAGTCTCATGGTCAGGCCTTTGCCACATGGACCACGTCTCTTTTAAAACCTACTTTCA